CATAAGTGTGTGTAAAAAAATCCTAACTGGAAGTCAAGGAACTGGGCTCCTTTCTAGCTCTGGCCCAACTTCATCATATAATCTTGGAAAAATCACTTCATCTCCATGACCTTTAATAGTGTTATCTATAAAATAGAAATAATACCTATCCTGACTTATTTGCATATTTGTTGTAAACTTATGTAACAGAAACTTAATTCAACTGGAGTTTAGAAAACCAAGATCTAGATTCAAATCATTGGGATTTTAAATTATGTTACATTAGTCCCAACCCTCCATTTCTTCTTTGCTAGAACAAATAGGTTAAATTACATAACCTATAATGCTCTTCCAATTCTCAGATTCTCAGTTTTTATGGCTAAAGCAGAAAATACATTATGTTAACTTCAAGGCACTTTAAGAAACAGTATTGTGTGGGAACACTTTTTTTTTTTTTTTGCCAAAAGAGTCAAAATACAAGTCAACTTGTCACTGAAGCAGCTGGAAGGTGTTTTGATTAGGGAGATGAGGCAGGCCAGCATGGTAATGCCATCCTTTGTTAGAAAGGTCCCATGGGACAGTTGGAGGTGAGATTGGCCATCACTTGAAACCCTCACTTGAGTGAATTATGCAGCTGCTATCACTTCTCAGGCTCCATTTCAGCCTAAATTTGCCACTGGCCTTTGAGGTTTCTGACTTGAGGGCCCAAAGAATTCAAGAAAGTATGAGGAAAAGTTTTTTCACCAAGTCCCAAGAGGGCACCCTTGCTCCTTTCTAGAAATGAAGGGGAAAATGGCCCAACTACAGGTCAGCCTTAATATATAGTATTGTGCACACTATAAATACCCACTTTTATTTTGGAATTCTAGTCAGCCACCCTCAGTCCCTGCATGTACTCACAGATCTCAGCCAGGAACAATTTGCTCCCTCAAAATTGTAAGAAATCTCCTAGAAGCCACCAAATCACTAAATGTTAAGACTTCTAGCTCACAGGATTTCATTTAAAGTCCTCAATTACTTTTGTTTTAAAACTTGTTTATTGTATGTCAGTAGGAATTGAGGATAACAGCTACCCATATTTGTACTTCAGCCATGTTTGTTTCTTCAACACCATTTTGAAAACTAAGATTTGTATGTAGGTTTTATAAAAACAATTTGTTGGTTTGGCATAGAGACAGTTTAACTTTTTAATCTCTCATTTATTGCTTTTCTTACTAAAAACTGCTTTAATTTTGGGCAGTCATAACCCACTTGATCCTCACAGTAAACAATACAATTAGCAGCCTGGGGGTGGGGGATGAGGGTTTGTGTTTTGGTTTATATTGTGACAGAAATGGAAATGCCTGAAGGAATTTTAATGTTTGTATCTTATAAGAATACCACATTTCCCATGCTTCTAAGAACTCAGAAATATCTCTTATTTGTGTTTAGAATAAAAGCTGGGGTGTAACATTCTGAATGATGATGTAACTGATATATTTGAACAAACATCTGTAGGCAAGACAAACTGCCATTGATTTGTTTGTGGAACTGGACCATTTAATTAAGTATGAAGATCTTAGCTGCTTATTTGTCAGCATTCTTACAAGTTAGTCAGTTTACAATAAGCCCAATACATCCAAGCATATTAGCACAGCTCTGGGCCTAGAACCCTACAAAAACATTAAGATTCAAAGCAATACAGAACAATGCTACCAATTGCATTGCATTACCCATCTAGAATTTTTGATGCTTAATCCCTCAAAGCCACCTTGAACCATGTGCTGCAGCCACCAAGGGTGTTGAATGAAAAAAATCTGAAGGGATTAAGGAGTCATTTCCACTAGAGAGAAACACATTTTCTCAGCTGTTCTGGTTTCAATGAGGAGGGATTTTCCCTAAACCCTCCTGTCCTCTTCCCTCCTCTTCACTCCCTTCTCCCTGAGGGAAGTAGAGTAATTTATTAGGTGGGAATTTAATAATAAATTTGGCATGTTCAGTTCAGTTCTACCCTTTATCATCTTTGGGGGAGAGGCCCTCTGTAACTCAATCCATAAACCCTACCTGGCAGGCCCCCATAGCTAGGCAGACCCAGCTGGCTTTAGCATTGCATTTACGGTGGGTAAATCTCTCTGATGATCAGTTAGTAAGACTATCTCTCATAAAGTACAGCCTTCAACTTTGGTAATATGTTGGGTTTCTACTTGTCGATCTTTATCTTCTCAAGACTCCAGAAGTTTCCAACAAACCAATTAATTACCTAATTAACAGAAATGTCCTGGTAAATTTCCATACACCTGCACAGCCCCTATACCAAGTCCATACTTGCAGCAATACACCAGGTTTGAAAAAATATACATGCTAAGCAAGTAGTTAAGGGTAAGACAGGAAAATGCCTTTGATAACATATTAAGTGAAACAAGTAATGTAAAATTTCTGTATTTTAAACACTGCATTAAGTGTTCATGTAAGTCAATTTTTGTGCATATTTGTGAATATTTTTATTGACTTTTATAAAAGATTTCTTTCATGTTTTAATTAGTTCTCTCACTACTGAAATATGCTATATCACCAATAAATGTCCTAAGCAAAGACCTCTTGTTTAGCATAAAACTACAGCAATTTTTCTATAAAATATATGGCTTCTCTTTTTATAATTACTTGAATTTAGATTATTAAATGGACACTTAGAAGTGAGGTGAAAATTTTACATTGCCCAGGAGCCAATTTAGAAAAACAAAGTACTTGCAGACAGCAAAATAGTTTTTTTGTAATATGGGAATACATTACCTACAGCTATGCATTTATTTATATTATCCAGTAACCTTGAAGGGAATGAACCTGCTGCTAGTCTTTCTTGATTTTCTGTGTATCTTTCACTTCTTCACCCTACACTTCGTCCTATGCTTTGAAATCATGGTCAAAATTTCCACTTCCCTAGTAACAGCCACTGTCAGGGACTCCAACTTGCATTGGACAGCAGTAGACTGGGATTGCACAAATCACTGAGGACTTCCTCAATTCAGGTCCATGAGAATATTTTTGCTTTATATTCTTGTAGTTAGATTGGCATCTAGATCATGAAGCTAGGAGAATCACGTGTATTGCATTAAGGGTGGACTGCTCATGGTATTACATTGAAATGAACAGAAAGCTCTTATTTTCTGAAGTAAATTTTATGTTACTAGGCTTTTAAGTGTTTCTACTAAGGTCTAAATTTATTAATAATTTTACATTTTTAGCCTGTCCATATGCTAGTTATAAATGTTCAATCTCTTTTTGTGTATATATATATATATATATATATATATATATATATATATATCTTGAATCCCTGTGTGTAGTGGAGTGTGTGTGTGTGTGTGTAAGTGTAAGGAACAGGTATGAATTTGGGATATTCTAATTCACACTTACCTGAAATGCCTATATCAGAGCCTTTTCAGCTTCACCCCAAATCCACCTGGGCATCTAAATTTACTTTTCAGGCTTTGCTTAAGAATCATGAGATACTTGGGGCGCCTGGGTGGCGCAGTCGGTTAAGCGTCCGACTTCAGCCAGGTCATGATCTCGCGGTCCGTGAGTTCCAGCCCCGCATCAGGCTCTGGGCTGATGGCTCAGAGCCTGGAGCCTGTTTCCGATTCTGTGTCTCCCTCTCTCTCTGCCCCTCCCCCGTTCATGCTCTGTCTCTCTCTGTCCCAAAAATAAATAAACGTTGAAAAAAAAAATTAAAGAAAAAAAAAAAGCCACTGCAGCTCTCCTCCTCCTCTTAACTTCAGGATATAACAAGGAAGCATGATAGATCTTCACCTCTGTTTAATTGTCTTCCTCTGAAACTACTTAAGGATTTTGAAATTACAACAGAGACCAGGAAGAAATCTTTAACATGATTTGTTTCAAGGGGAAATGAACAGGATGTGGCAGGACCTAGCATGAAATGGAATGAAAGGGGAAATGAACAAATGGAAGATGTCCTCTGGATTAAGCAGTGAAAATAAAAATGAGGTGATGAAGATGTTTCATCAGAGAGTTAAATGATTTTTAATTTCCTTGGACTCTAAGAGAAAACACAAAGCCGTTATCCATTTGGTTCACTGTGCCAAGATTTGCATTTATTTCCTTCAATGATTATTATTTCTTATGAAAGGATTATTAAAACAACATTAAAGGAATTCCTAAACATGAAAAACACTGTTTCCCATTATCCTAACACTCTGCACTTTTTTGTCACTATCGTTAGCCATCATCTTCCACCCTCAGACCAGATCAAGTGCCTGTTTAAAGCTCCCTGTATTTGTTTTTCATGAATTTAGCCCAGCAGAGCTTAGATATTTTCCTCTCAATTTCATTCCCAGCATTTACCATAGTGTGTAACACATTGTACATGTTTAATACATTTTTGAATAAAAATGAATAAATATTCCTCTTAATTATTCATCCTTGAAACTCATACATCTTCAGCTTTCCCCAACAAACTGATTTTCCTTACTGCCAAGACCTCACCTGCTCATGCAGGAGTTCCTGGTTCCTAAATACTTAGATTACCAATTCTCCCTGGTCTCTGCTGCTCCAAGGGGCAATTCTCAGCCAATCATACCAACCCCAGGACTCTAAATGCCACCTGGAGGGAGAAAAATGGATCCTCCTTCTCTCCCTCCCCTACCCCTCCTTGCTCCACAGCAAGACCACTCGGGCTCCAAAATGCTACAAAGCTTAACAGGTACACGGTCCACCTCTACCCCATGGTAAACATGTGTTGGCAGATATGAGTTAATTAATGAGCCCCTTATGAGTCAATCAGTGCAAATTCCAGCAGGAGAATGGTGTGTTCTAGCCTCACTTCCAGCTTTTACGCCTATGTGTTTACGAAACCAGTTCACTCAACAAGTCTGGTCTTGATAGGGACATACATAACATGCAGGTTTTGAGGGGAGGTGTTTTATTTTGTTTTGTTTCTTTCCTATTATTGTATCTAACCATAATCTATACAATTTCCTTTTTAAGCCCATGTATCTCTAGAAAATCCTTGTAGCTTTCTGGTCCCTTTCAGATAGTAAAAGAGCATCATTCAGTTCTTCTCACTTAAAATTCTACTCATATTTTCCCTTCCCCACAGGTCAGGTTCAGTCTTTGGCCTGTGGGATCTGTAGTTCTTAAGAGGCATGGTCTTCTCTTTTACTCCTCCCAACTATTTTCCTATGAACTGTCATATGGGAAGAAGAAATAGAGAAAAATGGCTGGGGTTCAGCATAGTTGGTTGCTTGTTAATGGGAGAAGGTAACCCTCAAATCTACTCTTTGAAGTCTCTATCAACATGATGGCTTCTGAAGAGATGCTGTGCATGATTTCTTAGGGGTACTCTTCATCTTCAGCTTGATATCTTCCTTTACTGAGGAAACTTCCAGAAAGGGTCAACCATATCCCCCTTTTGGCTACACCAGCAATCTTTGTCTTCAGACTTCTATCTGAGTGGGGAATCCTCTTGCCTGGCCAGCAGCTGCCTGAGCAGCTCCATGTCCCTGACTCTTCTCCAACCTCTATGTACCTTCTTACAGAGCCAAAGGAACTCCTGAGGTGGCCGCATGGGCCCTCTGATGGATTAGGAGCATTTCCCCATTTTCTTCCCATGTATCCAAAACCAAGGATGCCACACACTTCATGATTCAGTTGCTTCAGTGAGGTTTCTGCCTGATGAAATCACCAGGTGAGAAAAAGACAACAGTCTTCACATTCACATTTAGCCCCCTAACTGTGGTGTATATATATATCAAGATCTCCCAATTTCTCCCTCATCTTCTGTCTCAGGGGTTCCACCAGCATGGCTCTGCCAGCTCTGCAGCTCAATAAGCATTTAATCAAAATTGAAATGCCTGCTGTCTCCTTCCAATTCAGTTTCCTCTTCAAAACTTTCTCCCTCTTGCCTACTTGAGAAAAAGAGCTACCAATCTATGAAAATGTATTGTCCTCTCTTTCAGAGTGAACATGTGTCCCTGGGAGACCTGGACCCAGACAAAGACTATGTTTCCCAGCCCCACTGACATGTAGGTGAGTCTATATATGACTTGGTTTACCAACAGAGTGAGAATAGAGGTCACAGATCACCTCCAGGCCCAAGATTTTAGGAAACTAGTGACTTCTTGCTTTCTCTTCCTCATTCTGTCAGTTAGCTGCGATGAACTTTGATGCCTTGCAAGATGGTCAAGATACAGCATACAAGGAGCTTTGGTTCGTAAATGACCACAGAGGGAAGCCACCCTCTGACCATGTAACACACACATAGGAAAAAAAACCCCACTATTGTGTTAATAAGCCTACTCTGCATCCTATCACAGTATCCAGAATAATCCTAACCATATCCTAATATGTCTGTGAGAGAAGATGAAGAGTTTTGAGATGGTCGCCCGAGCTTGCAAGGCCAGTTCTGCCACCAGTTCTGCCACCTCTAAATGAGCTCTAGAGATGCTTACTCTGTCTACTCCCATCCCTTTCCCAAACTTTTATCAGTGTCTCTGAACATAGCTTAGGTACCATGGCTCTCATCATGTCTATTTGGTGAACTTCCCAATGGCAACATGCCACCCCTGTTCCATGCCCTCTTCATCCTCCCTTGTCTATATTTATTGTGAGTCTCAGTGACTTGGACCAATGATAAACATATTCAACCCTGCCACCCTAGGAAAGGTATTCAAATTCTCATGGAAATAGAATCCTCAACAGCACTGCCCCCTTTGTCAGTTCATCCCCCAAAATGAATAATATTCACCGATCAACCTGAATTCAAAATAGATACACAGCTAACCTTACTCTGGAGTATGGTTGGGATTTGTAACGTCAAAGTAAACACTGTGCTCTGCTCTCTTTTTTTGCCATTTTTTCATGCTAATCTTCCACATGTCAACCTTGGATTTCTATTTTTTATTTAATAGTTGTATGAGATTACGTTACACAAATAAAAATAACTTATTTAACTATTCTTTTCTTGATGAACATTTATAATTTTCTTTTGTACAACTTCAGTTTATTTTCAGTAAGAAAAAAACTGCTACTATGGTATCTTCAAAAAGACAAATCATTAAAATATAATGAATCCTGGCCTCTAGGAAAAAATTTACCTCTATGAAGTAGTAATTTCCTATGGGATCTCAGAGTTTCAGCTAGTGGCTTCCAGACCACAAACTGTAACCAAACTGTAAAACTATGTGTGGTATGTTAAAAGTTACCTATTTGTTAATAATAAACTTATGAACAAGAATCTTTCAAACTGTTCACTTGGGAGTTCAGGACCCATGAAAAGTCCAATAGTTGTGAAACTTGCTCAGTAATCTAAGTACTCCTAGAATTTTCAAAGTGTATTATGATGTTGGTTTTTAACCTTAACTTTGGAAAAGAGGTAATGATGATGGTTTTTGTACTCTGTTATCATTACCACCTAAGAGGACTGACTCTCTCCCCAAAAGGTTGAATGACTGAGGAGCCTAAATAAACACAGCAGGAGATTCAGCAATGAGAGGTTTCACTGAATGCAGACACAGAGCCTTTTAGTCCAAGGCTGGGGTGTGGAGGCCTCATGCAACAGAGGAGAAGAAAGAAAAAGATGAATCGTCCATGAATCACATCTTGAAAACAGTGCTCTAGGAATCCAGAAGTTATAGCTGGAAAAGCAATGCTGAGGACAAAGTCCAGTGTGAAAGGTGAGGGTGAAGATGGAAGAATATTTAATGGGGTCAGAATTCCAAAGGATGGGCAATTAACCAGGACATAATGTTCAGAACAAGCATAAGAAGTAAATTTAAAGTTGGTGCAGCCACTTAAAAGGGTCATGGCCTGGCACTCTATCAACAAAGATAATTACAGATCAATGACAACCGATTCACATAATAACAACCTGAAGGTGATATAAGACCTGAAAATGCTTTCAAATGATCAAAAATATTTCATCCAATCTAAGATGTTATCTTGTGTAAGATACATTTGAATGCTTTAAATGAAGTCTTAATATGAAGAAAATGTAAAAACTATAAAAATAAAAATGGAAGAATATGTAGAAGAATATTTGTATAATTTTGGTCAAGGGAGAGATCTTAAGATAGATAAGAAATCTAGAAAGAAAATACAATTATATTTACATTAGAATATACTACATTGGAATACACAGAATATACATATAAATTTTTTTCTATAATCTCTAAAACCATGATATGTATTATTTTAGTTAGACAAGGCTAGACCACAATAACCACAAACTGACTCTCAAATCAAAGTAGTGTAATCCACTAAAGATTTCTTTTTTGCTCACATCTCAGTCTGAATCCCATCAGGAAGCATCCTCCCACTTAGAGCAGCCCACCTGGAGCACCAGGCCTCCCAGGCCACTGCAGTGGGGAAGAGATGGAGGAGGCCAACTGAGGCAGTTAGTAGCTTTGGCCTGAAGCCATACCAGCCTCTTCTGTCCAAAGTCCATTGATAAAGCAGTCATCTAGGCCAATTGAACTGCAAGGGAAGCTGGGGGTGTGGGGAATGACAATGGATATTTTTGGACACCATCTCTAACATAGCTAATCAAAAGGCTTTATTTGGATAGAAATCCTTCCAAACACCATATGTGTTTTCATTAGAAGCAAACAACTGAAGAATTCAACAGAACCTATAATAGACACCTACAGTTCAATGTAGCCCAAGGAGACATATCTTCTGAAAAATAAGTAACACCTTCTTCTACCTTAATATTTTATAAATGGCATACTCCTCTGTAAAATATCAAATATGATTAATTTAAAATAAACTCATTGGACATAATTGTTTTTAAAGTAATGTGGACAAAATATTTATAACTCTGTTGTAACTGCGATATAGAAGTTCCCCTTTAGACCAGAAGCTTTAAAGATTTAGACATAAAGCCCACCAAATAAGGGTAAGCTAAGACAAGACTGCTGCATCCAACAGGCCCTGGGAGTGTCATTTGTGAGCCGAGTGTGTATGGTGTGGTGTGGGGTTATTCAAAAAGACAAAGGAAAACAACCCCTGGAATTATGCAACACAGCAGCCCTGAGCAGAAATGTGGGAAAATACTCATTTTAATATTTATTGGAAAACATTATCTGCCTTAGGAACTGTTATTAAAGACCTCAAGAAGAGAGTGACAGCCAAATAAAATTAGAGAGCATTTTTGTCTAAAATCTTCTGAAATCAGGTAAAACTGAACTAATAAAAGAATTTAGGTGATGGCCTGAAAATGTAAGCATAGAAATAAATGAAAAACAAGGAACAAGGCCAGGAAAATTGAGATTTAACCAAGCAGAGAACCATTAGAACTACTGAGGCTTCACCATAAGACCAGCAGGAGGGCTGGAAGCTTTCTCACTCCCACCTACATTACTTCAACTATTTTTCATTACTCTGCCTTGAGTCTGGTTATAAAGTAATATTACTCATTTTTATAAACATGCCGGAATTTATCCATCCAAATAACTGTTGTTTCAGTTAAAGTAGTCACCTTTAGAGGCTGTGAGCTTATTTGATTGACATTATCATTATCCAAATATTTTTGGAAACTCCACTTTTGGAATTACCTTCAAAGTCAGCATCGAGTTCTTTTCAATGACGACAAATCAATGTCCTAAAATGGGACACTGATTTGAAGTCACCAAATGTCAGTTGAAGCTAACTGCATAAGGCATATTATCAAGCTAGTTAATATCACTTCAAATTTTAAAATACATATAAGGACACATAACTTTAATAGTGAATATAATTCTACTTTACCCCACACACAGTTGTGAGAGACAGTCTGCTAAAATGATTTGAGCAAAGGCAGCTAGCATTGTTATCCATAGACATAGTTCAACAGAAATCTCTGTGAAGTCTGCTATATTTACTTTAGCAATGTGCACTCCAGCTGCTATGTGGAAGGCCTACTTCACTAGCACATGATGATGTTTCCGTGTGTGTGTGTGTGTGTGTGTGTGTGTGTGTGTGTGTGTATGTATGTGCATGTGTATATATGTGTATATATGATGGGGGAAAAGTTTTATCTACTTTTTGAGTACTTTGCATTTTCCTGTTTCACTAGTAAAGAAGAAAATGATTGCTGTCCATTTTCTTTATTTATAACTTGCTGGTTTTTTAGTAGACATTGGTATATCAGGAATAGTAATGTATTATCTATCTAGGATGTTATTTTTTTTTCAACGTTTATTTATTTTTGGGACAGAGAGAGACAGAGCATGAACGGGGGAGGGGCAGAGAGAGAGGGAGACACAGAATCGGAAACAGGCTCCAGGCTCTGAGCCATCAGCCCAGAGCCTGATGCGGGGCTCGAACTCACGGACCACGAGATCGTGACCTGGCTGAAGTCGGACGCTTAACCGACTGTGCCACCCAGGCGCCCCTAGGATGTTATTTTAATTGTGCATTCTTTGCCCTGATTCATTGCTTTGTATAAGGTATGTATTAAATATGTATGCACATACATATGGGCACACACACACATATGTAAATATCTGCTATATACATGTGCTATATAGCTAGGTTAAATATAACTGTTTTCTTTCTAAATTTCCTACCTACTACTTAAAGTTTCCCTTGTCCAAAATTGTACAAATACCTTCCTGTATATTCTTCTACTTTCAATTTTATATTTAGTTTTCACATTACGTTCATATTGAAGTTTCATTTAAAAACAGGCTTAAGGAGGAACCTCTAGAAGCCAGTCACCCTTTCAAGTTCTAGTAGTTTCTACCACATCTTTACATCCTCCTTTCACATAGGTCATTTCTTTCTAATCAAAATATATCTACTGTTTCCACAAATATATTTTGAAATAACAAACCATTTTTCTTGTATAATAGTGTATGCATATTTTTCTTGACTTTCCTCCAATTAATTAAAATAAATTTAATTCAACAAACACTTCCTGTCTGTTGTTGTCTACTTATATCAAATACTGGGGGAAACATTGCCTGGGATCCAAATAGCGGTATATGTGACATGGTAATTTCCCACAGGGCACTTCCAAACTTCTTAGATGACATGTTACTTTACTCCTGAAAAAAATCTGCACAGCTTACAGGTTAAACTTCATATTAACGGACTGATGTTTTATACACTAATCATCACTTAAAATTTGATAGTGGGAAGGGAAATGGCAAAGAACTTGTTGTATGTTAAGATGGCAGGTTGTCTTTTTGTCCTCTTCTGAGAAAAAATAAAATAAAATCTAATTTTCACTTCCTTTTCTTTTCAGTTTGTATGTGATTTAGAGGAAGGAAGTGTTCAGGGAAGAAATCAGTTTCCTAAAGTTTTTAGAACCAAAAGACTTGGGAGATTGGATTTTTCTTTTGCTAAAACAACAACTGCAAACGGATATTTATATAAAGAGCTAGGTCAAACCTAACAACTTAAGAATTTATTTTTAGATTTCTGCTTGGCCAAAGGGGAAATATGGTAAATGAGCCTTATGTTCTTAAATGGGCATGTAGTTGAACTCAAAATATTTCAGAAATCTGACAGAAGGCAATGAAGAACATCAGCTTTCCTAGGCATCATTAGAAATCCCAAAACAATGACAATATTACAACTGTTTTCTTCCTTTTTAAAAAAAATTTACTTTCAGTTTTAGTACTCAAGATCTCTACATTTTTGAAGATGCCAAGACAAAAACAAAAAATGATTATATAAACAGAGAGATATAAACAGAAAATCCAGTCACTTTAGCTGAATGTGTAGCAGAGTTGTGCTCTATGTGGAAGCCACCAGTCACATGTGGCTATTGAGCACTTAAAAGGTAACTAGTCCTAATTGAGATGAACAGATGAGTTAAATACACACTGGATTTCAAATATTAAGTATGAAAAAATGTATAGAATATCTCAATCAAAATTTTATATTCATTACAATTGAAATAGTAACATTTTAGACATCATTGGTGAATTTTAAAGTATATTATTAAAACTAAATATACCTGTTTCTTTTTCCTTTTTTAAAACATGACTACAAGAAAATTTAAAATTTCATATGTGACTCACAAAATCTTTCTATTGTATACCACTGTAGTAGAGCAGTGGAATTAAGAGCTAGGCTCTGGGAATGCCTGGGTGGCTCAATTGGTTAAGCTTTGGACTCTTGATTTTGGCTCAGATCATGACATCATGGTTGTGAGACTGAGCCCATGTTGGGCTCTACACTGGGTGTGGAGCTTGTTTAAGATTCTCTCTCTCCCTCTCCCTCTGCCCCTCATCTGCTTGTGCACACACTCATTCTCTCTCTGTCTCTAAAAAAAAAAGAAAGAAAGAAAAGAAAAATAAAAAAAAAGAGAAAAGAAAAGAAAAGAAAAGAAAAGAAAAGAGAAAAGAAAAGAAAAGAAAAGAAAAGAAAAGAAAAGAAAAGAAAAGAAAAGAAAAGAAAAGAAAAGAAAAGAAAA